AGTTGCGATGGATTGTAATCACGTCGCTTTCCCTTTCGCTCTACTCAAATTTGGCCAACTCAATAAAAATACCACATGTTTTTTACTTTTTTTTTTTATATAAAAAAATTAATATCGGAACTATTGACAAAACATAAATATATCGGCACTGATCCACACATTCTTTCTCAAGTTGTGTTGGTTGAGTAATGTCTCTCGTGCTGGTTCAGAAGTCGGTGAGTTCCACTGGGAAATAGAATTGCATGAAAATGAATAAGAATTGGAAAGTGGTTGTTTTCTGTAAGTTGACAACAATGAGGCGTAGCATAGTCTATAAATAGGTTGAAGCCTTTGATTGTAATATGCACATCAAGACAATGAAACTATCTCACATTATTTACTAGCTTTCCGCAAAATCTTCAATAATTCCCCTTTTCTTCTAAAACTATCAACCCCTAGAAATATAAGGGAAAAACATGATCACTAAAGACAAAAATTCACTGGCGAAAAAGTCACTAAAGACAAACAAAAAACATCTTCATTAAGCATATCACTTGTAGTATATATGGGTAACTAATTTAATATACATCGAACAGAAGGAAAAAAATTAAAATAAGAATAATCAATCACGGAAAAAGAGAAATTTCATGCAAAAGTTACACTCCATTAAAAAAATAAATTTTATTCAAAGATGATACTTTAATAGTGACAACATATTCAAAAACACAAAAATGACACAATATTCAAGAATCCAACAATAAATTGTTTATCGTTTTAGGTGATCGAGTCATACAATTTATTGTAATTTCATCATATCGACCTAACATTAGCTAAAATCTAGTGTGAGCAAACCATGTAATATCACATGATCATGTCATATGCTTCTGGCTCAAGATGAAGAGGTATTTTCTTACTAACAGTGAGTCCATTCGTCTCACTCATGTCAATGCTTTGCATCAATACACCATTCTCAGGAATCTTCCAGTTGAACCAATATAGGAGATTGGCAAGAATATACTCACTTGAAGTAAGCCCAAACGAAATTGCAGGGCATGCCCTTCTCCCACTACCAAAAGGGATGAATTGAAAATCTTGTCCTTTTAGATCAACTTGGCTATTTTCAAATCTCTCAGGAATGAACTCTTCAGGATTGTCCCATAATTTAGGATCCCTTTGGATTGACCATGCATTGATAAACACCATTGTTTTTGGGGGAATATCGTACTCTCTTAATTTCACACTAGATGCAGTCTCTCGAGCAAGCAAAAGTGGAACGGGTGGATGTAATCTCATAGTTTCTTTGACTACACATTTTAAGTAGTTCATTTGATTCACACAATTTTCATCCACTCTTGAATTGATTCCCACAACTCTTCTTACCTCTTCTTGAGCTTTCTTCATGGTATTTGGATTTTTAAGGAGCTCTGCAATAGCCCATTCTAGATTCGTTGAAGTAGTGTCGCTTCCACCGATTATCATGTCCTGAAATTAATATAGAATTTGAAGTTAAATATTTATATATCTTTCTTTTACTGATCAATTTTAGATATGCAATTAATTTATTATTTGAGTAGTACTATTCCCGATTCTAATTATGAGCAACATAAGACAAATTTTCAAGTATGAGAAAAGTAATTGAGTTAGTTGTTTTTAATTAATTCTATTGTGATAGAGAACCCATTATGATGTCTTACAAATACACAAATTTGTATGTGTATCCCATTAATTAGTGTCCTCACATATGTGTGTGTCCTATCCTCCTGCTAATTAGAGTCCTTAAGCCACTTGTAAAAAAATCATTTGTTTTACTGAAGACCATGTTGATGTTGTATTGAAAATATCGTGGGAGTGTGCTCTATTATACTTCCTAACAAAAAAAAATTATTAAAGTTTAATTTCGTAATTAGAGCTTTTTAAGGTACTGGTTAGCAATTTCACACACACAAATATATATATATATATACACGTATTATATGAGAATGACTTCCTTAGATCAAAATAATTCATCTTGATCCTCAAATTCAAATGAAAGGTTGAGAATGACTTCTTTAAATCAAATGATTAATTTTAATCCTTAAATTCAAATGGAAGGTTGAAATTAAAAAAAATCCTTTTAAAAATTATCATAAGTGGAGGTGGTGGTACTATCACCACAAGCACTACCATTGCCAACAATGATGACAATAGTGCATTATACAATTGTTACTAGTGATAACAACGACAATAACAATAATGATAATGTGTCACTAGTATCACTAAAGATAATGGTGATGCTGGTTGCAACAATAGTTTGCAAGTAATAATAGTTGTGGTAAATGATACTAAGAATGCACCCTTATTGATAATGGTGATGATAATAATATTGATAGTGATGATGATAATAGAGACCACATGTTTTTACTACTGTCATTGTTATTATTGCTACCATAATTATCTTTACTATTATTAGTTGTTATCAACGATAAGGTTGTTGGTGATAGTGATGATACCACCACCACTACATTAGTGAATTTTTATGAGATTCTTTTAATTTTAATTTTCTATTTGAATCTAATGATCAATGAGATTGATAATTTTTATTCTCACCTAAAAAAATCATTATCATTTGATAAATTTTCTCTTTTGCTATATGTGTGCATGTATGTATAACACTAACATTACACTATTTGTAATAAATTCACTATTATTAGTTAATTAAAAGTTACAGAATCATCAATGAAATTTATTAAATGAATGCAGACCATCCAATTTTACAATTTCTAATCAATTTCGCCAATAGTAGAAGTGCAAAACATATGTTTGAAAGAATGTATTCTAAATTTGTTTAAGAGAATTAACTTCTTGTTAATTAGTTGGAGTGGAAAGAAATCAGACAGTTTAACCTATTTAACACATAGACTAATGTGACCTATATTTATTAAGAAAATCAGACATATATATTTCCAAAATAAATTTAACTAAAAGAATCAATTTTTTAGCATTTAAAAAAACCTGATAAGTCAGTCTATATTACATATCATAATATTTTATCAATTTATAACTAATATTTATATATAATATATAATTATTAATAATAATATTTTAATACTTCGATACATCGTCTATATAAACCCATAAGTCTATTTTATCTTTCTATAGAACTTATATAAATTAAACCATCAAAATAGAATTTTAAAATAATTAGACTACATTTTTGACATTCAATAAATATCTGTATGAGATAAATAAGTTTTTGTTGTAATTAAGTAATATACTGTTGTAGGTCAGACTTTCATTAAAATATAGCTTTGTTTATCTGGACACTTAAATTTCCACCAGATGATAACATTATAAAACGAAAGGCTTTTTTTTTTTTTCAAGTTTTGTTTAGGGGTACCAAAATTTTCTGTGATTAAGATCACATGAATGATGACATGTATTAATTTTGTCAGAATTTATATTTTTAAGAATATTTTAATATTTATTATTTAATCCTCGTTAATTTATAACATTTTAAATAATAGTCTCCAGTCTATTTAAATATGATTTATCTTCTTCATCACCCTACCCGTTTCATTTTCATTTTTCCTCCTCTATGACACATCTCTGGCAAACACCTCCCATTCTTTCCTCCACTGTTCGACAATCTATTTTTCCTATGAAAAGCACCATTCCATGTGAGACATTCACCAAAACGCCACCACTCTCTACGATCGCTACACAAAGTTTCGTACATCATAAACCTCAATCTCTTTCACTCTCTCTTCACTTTCTCTCTCTGCAAACCAAAACCCACTTCGAAAAGCACTATTCCATGTGAGAGATTCACCGAAACACCACCACCCTCTGCGATTGCTACACAAAGTTCCGTACATCATAAACCTCAACCTCTCTCACTCTCTCTTCACTTTCTCTCTCTACAAACCAAAATCCACTTCTTATTCCCACTTAAAATGCCAAAAGAAAAAACGTCGCCGATCTGTTCCTCTTCACATAACCCGAAACCCCATTCACAATTCCAAGTCAAAGACGCAGCCTTTTTAACCCATGCAGCAACTTGGAAATAAACAGAAGAAGCAAATAGTACTTTTCATTGGGAGAATTGATTGTCCAGCAGCGGAGGAGAGAATGGGAGGTACTTGCCAGATATGCACTAGAAAAAAAAGGAAAAATAAAAATGAAACGGGTAGGAACATAGGGTACACGAGAAAGTTACGGTCTTTGATGGAAGTTTTGGTAGGGAGAATAGGTTTTAGAGCACTGGAACCCGAGATGCACCAAAAAAAAGAGAAAAAATGAAAATGAAACCGGTAAAGAAATAAAGCATATTTAAATAGGCTGAAGGCTATTATTTAAAAAATTATAAATTAATGAAGGTTAAATAATAAATATTAAAACATGCTTAAAAAATATAATAGAGTTTTGGTATCTCCTAAACAAAACTTGTAAAAAAAAATTGCCAAAACAAAAATAAGAAACGAGAAAACTTACTTACAACATTATAGGTGTTGTCGGTGTTATTTTTTAAAATTTTATAATATAAATATTATATAGTAATGAGATTTATATTAAATATAATTGCATAATATTAAGATAAAATTCTAATATAAGTAACTCTACGTAAGTTTTGGCCATAAAAAAAAAGACGCACCATTAGGATTGCTTTGAGGTTGTCTCGGTTGAGCTGGAAATCAAGCCTCCCATTCTGTTGAAGCTGAAGCAGTGTTCCCACGAAGTCCACAGCATCGGACTCATGGTTCTTGGTTTTTCTGCTCTCGTGTTCTTTAATCACCTCATCAAAGAAAGCATCTACTTCCAGAAACGTCGCCTTCATTTCCGGAACGAGGCCAGTGAGAGAATCAACCCAAGCCAACGAGGGGAAGAAATCACCGACGCTGAAAGCAGTGAAGAGTCTCATAATCTTTCTCCCAAGCACTCCAAACCCACCACCCTGTGCATCATCACACTTCCGTCCAAGAACGCATCTAGACACGATGTTGTTCGAAGCCGCAATCAGCATCTCACTCAGATTCACACGCGCCTTTTCACCGCTGCCACGCGCTTCGCGTATGCCTTCCACCAGCTCCGCCACAACCTCTTCCCTCACGGACCAAAACGACCGCACCTTTTTCACGCTGAAAAGCTCCACCACGCATGTCTTCTTCTTCTGTCGCCACTCTTCGCCGTAGGGCGCAAACCCCACATCGTTGCATCCGTAAAGAAAGATTCTTGCAGCCGTAGGTTGTGGACGGTTGGAGAAAACAACATCGTGCGTTCTCATTATTTCATTGGCCACGTCAGCTGATGAGACCACGAGGGTTGGAACTTGGCCAAGTTGCAGCATCATAAGAGGGCCATATTTGTGTGCGAGTGCGTGGAAGGAGCGGTGTGGGAGTGTTCCTAGTTGATGGAGGTTCCCAATTATGGGGAACTTGGGTGGCGATGGAGGCAGATTTAACTTGTTTCTTCTTCTTAGCTTAACCATAAACACAAGGAAAGTAACGAAGCAGAAGAAAACAGTTAGGTAACGGGTTGAAGTTGAACTTAGCTTATATGGCGGCCATTGCTCTTGAAGTGATTGCAGAAGAGCCATTTTTCCTTTCCTTTCCTTTGGGCAGGGATTAGTATTCTCGGGAACTGTGAAGACAGAACATGTATGGTCTTATATTTTTATAATATTCATTTTTGTCGACCGTTTTATTATTTTTTTTTTCTTGGGCGGCTTCTGAGTTCTGATATTCCGTCATATGCATTAATAATATTATTCTACTTTCTCCCCTTCTTATATCTCTTTGCTTTGAACAATTTTTTTTATATAAATATTTTTTTACACTTATTCTGATTTATATCATAATTTCTATACTTTATGTTTCGTTCTTTTTTTGTTTTCTTCCACGTTATTTGGTTATATAATATGATGCTGTATTTATATTAAAAAAATTTAAGCTAAATATATATATTTTATAACACATTTATTTAAATATATTTTTTGATTAATTGAATATTTTATTACAAATCATAAAATTTAGTAAATATTACACCTTATTTAATGACTTTCTTTTAATTTTATAATTTTTTAATAAATTTTAATTAATAAAAATATATATATATATTAAGAGGTGTGTTACTAACACTCTTTATGTTTCGTTATCATTTTCATAATTTTTTTTCTTTCTAGCTGGTCCCTCTAATTGATCTGTTAAGAAGCTTAAAAAGTTATAACTAGTCCTACCTTAAAATATACCATTTAAAAACTGCAGAAAAGATAATGATGAACTTAAATATTTTCATTGATATCCCACGAGTTAAGAGAATATATTATTTATAATAATCTAATAGTTATAAAGATTATCTCTAACTGTCACTATCTAATAATTAGAGAATAAAAATATAAATTATATAATATTTTGATGTCATTCTATTAATCTACATGGTTTAACTATGATTTCCTTATGCTTTACTTGGACCTTGTCGTTAGTGTCCTTAAAATACTTGAAAGAAACAAGCAAGTCTTACAAGTGTAAGTTATACAATTAACATCTGCCACATTTGTTGTTTGTGCAGCTACAACCTGAATTTTCATTAAAACATACAGTGCAGTGACTTCTTTAACTTTGTTTCCCTCCAATCATCCAGAACTGCTCATGGCGCTACTAGTCTTTAAAGGTAACTCCACTCCATTGCACCAATTAAAATGATGGAGATAAGTAGAGTCATAAACCAAATGCTAGCAAGGTTGGTGAATGTGAAAATGATGAATTTTCCAGTTCAGAAACCCATTGCTGAAATTTTGCAGTCTGCAAACAAATGGGTGAAAGGGAATGGATAAACAATGTTGATAGTGGAAGCCAACCTCTCTAAGTACTTTAGTTTTCCTCCATAGCCATACCCCAAGCGACAACGGTGACCGAGGAAAATCTCATCAGAACCAAGAGTCCACCTCAAAACTTGGAGCAATGGAGCAGATCCTTTAAATGTTGCTTGTTGTATGCAATATACTGATTTCCATCCTCTGTAATGCATATGAAATTTAGTCAAAGTATGTTTTGTGACTGATCCATAAACCCATCCAATCTCTTTGCTCCATTCAATTTTCTTCATAGCCACAACTTATAATATGAATGACCTCAATCAATAATTCATTGTTTGTGCCTTTAGAAAGTCCACCATTTTTCATCTAAGTATAAGTAATGAAAGGTGACTGCACGAATCGCTTCACATAATTAATTAGAGGTGATGATACTATACCACCATAATTACCACATCAACAACAATGCTGACAATAGTGCTATCACCGAATGTAACGGTGTTGTGTTACTACAACTCTCACAGACGATGATAACTAGCGTTACACTTTGTTTCATATATTAGTTGAAAATTAAAAAATCATTAATGAAATTTATTAAATAAGCAGACCATTAAATTTTACAATTTCCGATCAATTTTGAAAAAGTTAAAAGTTCATTCCACCATTTGTTTGAACAAGGTTTTAAATTGCGGTCTGTAACCATAATTATGACATAATATTGCTGTTGTGGTGCTTATCGTAACTAGGGATGGCAATGAGGTTCCATGGGGGCGGGTAATAGTAAATCTGCCCTTGCCCTGTTAGATGAAAATTGTCTCCATACCCACCCCATATCTGCGCGGGTATCCATTGAGCAGGTATCCATGAATTTCTTGAATATCCACGGATATCTATGGATATTTATAAATTTTTAAAAAATTAAAAAAATTATATTCAAATAATTTTAAGTCTATATTTAATATCATTGAAATATTAAAAATAAAAATTTAATGTTAATTTTAAACTTGTATTTAACGTTAATTTTGTTGAAATAATAATAAAAATGTAAGATAATCAATAACTTAAAATACATCAATCTCACAAATAAGTTTAAAGTATCATCACAAAGCTACAATAATTCAATCTCATAATTCTAAACGAAAGTAAACAACTTAAAATACATAAATTTTATTGGTCAAATCAAAGCTAGAAAATTAATCAAATTATATCCAACATAATTCTGTAACATGCTTAACACATGTTGGTAACTTCATCAACCTCACTTTTGTAAAAAAATAAGATGAAAAAGTGTAATTTTAGGGTTATATGGTACAATGATAATTAGAATATTTAAGAAAAAGTGTAATTTTAGGGTTATATGGTACAATGATAATTAGAATATTTAAGAAATATTATTA